CGTTTTTTAAATGAATCAAATATGACGTTTGCCAGTTCCACAATCAAGCCAATGATTTACAGAGGTTTCTGAACAGAAATCTGAAAGGGGTTTTCCATTTAGGTAGATGTTCATAATTGCTTTTAAAGCTTCTTGCTTAAGACCAGTACGTATTGTGTTTTTTTGTAAGTTTATTGCTGCAAAGCCTCTTTCAACCGCTGCAGTACTCCCAGACAGAGAAAACATCAATATATGCGCAGTATGTTGCTGTATTGTGGGTCATTTTGCTGCCTCGTAACTTACAAGACTCTTGTAAGATAACCAAAATTGGAAATGTATCACGAACATTAACGGGAAAATGGCCGTCCGCGCTGACGTCGGATTCGAGAAATTCGTTGTCCGCGGAAAATTTTTGACCGTCGAGGACGGGCTGTTTTTCAAGCCCTGCAGCATATCATAATTTTTTTTATTCTCATACCTCGCTTATTGGAAATTCTCTCTTGAAACCAAAAATCTGATTTTTTTTTTCGACAAATGCTAATTTATTTAGTTATTAAGCATTTAAATTGCCCCAAAAGGCCTCCGTAAGTGATGTAATCAAAACCGATCTCTGATTGGTTATGACGTCACATGTGCCGAATGAAAAAGTGCCGTCTCCGTCCGCTAAGGCTATTTCAGTGCTCTTTTAGTTTCGATATGACGTATATCGTAAGAAAATGTAAATTTGTATGTAATGTTGTAAATTATAAGTAAAAATTCAGTGAATTAAAATTTATGGTTTTGAGAGTGTGTGCAAAATGAAAGAAAGGCTTTAAAACTTCAAACGTTGTTATTTATCACTAAAATATCTGAAGAAATTATTATGCAGCTCTTTACAGCGAATCAACATTTCTTATCGGCTGAAATCAGTGGTGTTAAAGTTCATAGAAAATAATATTTTATTCCACTTACTTTTAAATTAAAATAATGCTCCATTATTACTTAATGAAAATAAGTCGCAGATTGGATAGAAATAGTATACATTTAAATATAGGATGGATGATTTTATAATTCGTAATTGCATTAAAACAAATCATCATTTTCATAAATCTGGTCCATTGAAAAATATCAGTCCATCATTGTTACAATCTATCTGCTAATGTTCAAGAATTCAAATAATGTAATTTAATGTTGTTTCTTTTATTTATTTATTTATTACTAGAGTAGAAGGATTTTTTTTAAAATAAATATTTACTAATGCAGTTTATGTCATCTTTTTCTTTTTCTATGTAATAAATATTTAAATACACATTAGCGCTCATATATATTATTCCTTGCGTAAATAGGAATTTCGTTACAGTCAGAAATGATTTTTATTTTTAAATTTATAAATTTTAATTCCTTTTTCTGCAATATAGTATTAACAAAGTATGGTTATTATTCATTTGTAAACTATTTTTTAGCACTTGCAATGAAGAATTCTAAAATAGTAGAATTAATACATGTCACAGTGATGTGTGACGTTTTTTTTTTTTCTAATTGTTTAATTTAATCCCTTTTTTAGTTTAATGTCAGTTGTTTGATGTCTATGTGTCGTGGTACGATTTTTTATGTCCGGAATTTAACTTAATTTTTTTAATTTTAATTCAACCTTTCATAGTTTATTTTATTTTGCACTTTTCCTTTTTGTTTCTCTTCATTTTTTTCTGTGAAGGGAATTGGAAATGTCTCGTTTTACTCTTAAGTCAGCAACACATTTTTGTGTTCTTCTCCTTTTCACCTTTTACAGTTCAAGGTCGTCTGACCCCACTGTCCTTCAAGGACGAATTCGTTTCCCTCACATTCTTTTACGTCACCACTTGAATTCTTGTCCCGTCACTTTCAAGTAACCTCCAAATTTTTGCACGTAGTCATTCTTCCGGTTGATTTTTCTAGAATTTTCTAGAATTTTTAGCGTGTTCACGCCTCTTTGTATGTGGGGGAGTACATTTGGCACTGATTGGTGGTGACCTAATCATGTGGTAATCCCCCATCCAATGAGAGTCGTTTTCTATCCTGCCTGACAGCTCGTACTTTTCCCGCGCTGAAGGGACGCTGTGATGACTTCTCTTGGGTCACCGCTCGGCAACAGTTTGACAATTTTTTCTCTTGTCTTGCCAGCGTCATCGCAGGTGCCATCTTGGTTAGATGGATTCCAAATCCTCTTACTGGGCCTTTCTTGTAAAGGTTTGCTGCCTTTTTTGCCGATGATGGTACTTTTCGTCCTTGTTAAGTCTAAAGACTCCTTCCTATATTCTGAGTTTTAAGTATATATATATATATATATGTACCTCGTCTTTCTTATCCCTACAAAAGATATGTGGTAAATGCATCTCAGATATGTTCTTTAAAAAAAAATGTCTTCGAGTTAGAACTAAAACCGTTTTTTTTTTTTTGTGTTCGCAAATGAATATCTTTAAGAAGTTGGAACTCTATTTTTCTTCTTTTATGCTGTAAAAGAAATACTCTTTTTTTAGAGGTTGGAACTCTATTTTTTTTACGCTGCAGATGAATATCCTTTTAAATTGTTAGAACTCTTTTTTTTCTTATACGTCTCAGTGGCGACAAGCCGTAGAAAGACTACGGATCTTTAGTGACTGTCGGCATCCACGACTCAACGTCAGAAGTAGAAGCCTTCCCTTAGTTTCCCCCCCTCAAATCTCCCGATGGTGCTTTTCTTTGTGAGATGTGATGGAATTCGAATAAATATATGTGTTTGAAGATAAAAAAGTGTCCGAGGACTTCTTTTTGTCTCTTTTGTATGCCATAGTGATTTGTATTCTGCAGTCTTCACCCTTGAAGATGTCTCGTAATGGGTGAGTAACTCTCTTTTTCATTCCTTCCAATTGTGTAGTCTGTCTGGGCTATTGTCACGTATACCACATATCTTGTATATCATGTTATTAAGAGTATCCTCAATCTTATTGATCCAGTGGGTTTCCAATAAGCAGTGTTTTTTTTTTATCAATAATAATTTCACCGCTTACAAATAATATGTGTTATCTCTTTTATAAAAGAGAAATGATCTAAATTCATGACCAACGAATCGCAATATTATGCTGGGTGATTGTGGTCTCACACAAACGCTTATGTCACTGATCATTCGGCCTTCAGGGGTTTCCTCTGTTTAATCCTTTTCATGCATGGTATTGATGTCATTTTTTTTTAATCTAATTAGTATACATATATGATGGATATTGTCGAATTAATGTATATACATATCTATACTTCCCTGGATCAATAGTTTGAGCAAAAGTGACATACCCTTCCTTTTTTTACTTATGATGTAATAACATTTTACTTAGCCACCCTGTTCAGTTAATTTACCTTACTTCAGGTTGCATCATATCTCGTAAGACTTTTCTTATGTACTTACCATTAAATTTCTCCTGAGCTGGTGTCACAATCTAGGTGCACCAATTAAACCACGGTACACATGGTGCCGCTCTTAAGTACCGCTTCATTAAAATAATTTGAGTACATATATATATAGCGTAACTTTTTTTTAGTTAATGTTTTTTTTTTCTCTTTC